AAGTATATAGAACTGGTTAGATGAAGTATCAGGCTGATGGATTTTTCTTTACTAAATATGTCATTTTAAAGCAGTTTCTGAGTTACAGAATAGTTAAGAAGATATACAGAGAATTACAAAAATACACAGTACCCAATTTCACTAGCTATGGGTGGCAAATAGTGGCTTCTTTCCAAAGAGTCTAGCATGGAAAGATGGGGAAATCTGACAGACACTAGCTGAGACAGAAGACCAAGTTCAGCATCAACAGTGTTAACTCATATTGATAATCATCGTCAAGGATATGGATTCTTGATACAATGAGATACAAAAAATGACATTTACATTTGTGACTTCCCTTTCAAAAACCCCAGATGCAAGTCTAACAATGAGAAAACGAATTCCAAGACAGATCTAGAGTAAAAGTATTTCTTTGTGCAAGCCTGTAGGATGCACTTTTTGGATCATTATTATAAGGAATCATGCAAACTTCTAGCTTAATCTATTTATTTATTCATACACCTACTTACTTACTTATTAGATTGATATAAGCTATTCTACTTAGATTCTAAGAGCATTTACACCACATTTCTACAATCAAGTCTTTTTTCACAAGAAGCTATAATTCCTTTTATTGAATAATTAATTGTACCTATGTAAGAAACTAAGAAGTCACGTTGTTACTGAGATGCAGTTTTCTAAAGTTAGGGAGCCTTTTAAATAAAATACATCATTATACTTCAAAATTTTTCTTCATTAAAATATCCATTTGGGATTTTCTATAATAATTCTTTAGTAATTCTGGCATTCTTACTTTTCTTCAAACTCAATTAGAAATTCTAATTTAGGAGTTTTCAAGTAATACTGTTAAGTATCACACTACCAGCTATCACAAATATCAGTGTCCTTATTTTATAATTAAAACTTGCCTTCATTAAAATGTCATGTTCTTATCATATTTAATGATTGAACAATGAAAAGTAAAATCAGGAGTAAAGATGCTTCACTATCACTATTCAAAGCAATGTTTTATAATTTTGAAAGTTCGACAGCTGATTTATGAAAAAAATATCTTTTTCTTTGTTTTTGCACTCGTCTAAAGGCTTGAACTCAGGGCCAGGGCACTCTCCCTGAGGTTCTTTATGCTCAAGGCTAGCATCCTACCACTTCAGTCACAGTTCCACTTCTCATGGTTTTAGTAGTTTTATTTGGAGATAAGAGACTTATGCACTTTCCTACCCTGTTTGGCTTCTAACTGTAATCCTCAGAGCTAAGCTTCCTGAGTAGCTAGAATTACAGGTGTGAGCCATCAGTGCCCAGCAAACTATGTTTTTTTGGTCAGTCAGGGGGCCTGAACTCTGGGCCTGGGCACTGTCCCTCAGCTCTTCAGCTCAAGGCTATCGCTCTACCACTTGAGCCACAGCACCACTTCTGGCTTTTTCTGCTTATGTGGTGCTGAGGAATCGAACCCAGGGCCTCATTCATGGGAGGCAAGCACTCTACCACTAAGCCACCTTCCCAGCCAACTATTTTTTAAACAAAATGTATTGGGTTAATGTTTTCTCTTCCTTAACTGAGTGCATTGAAGGAGACACGACGTATATATTTAGAAAATTATCTGAAGTCAACGAAGAGGTTGGAGTTAGTTTGTTCTTTCCTGGTAAGAAATTCCATTTTCCCTACTTATGCAGTGAGCCTCGTCTGGGCTGAGACATTCTTGCATATCCCCATGAAATACTTGGCTTTCTGACGCTGAAAAGTATTGTATTACTCCAACCATGGCAGAGGAAGAGAGTGGGACTGGTAATGTTGTGGACAAGACTTACAATGTTGAGATTTAAGGGAAGCAGAATAATTCAGCTTCAGGCCATGATGCAGACTCTAAGTAGGGGGAATTTATAATTCAATATGATTTGACACAATATGCAAAGGTCAGACAACAAACAAAATAGGGTTACTGGACATAAAGGACTCATGTTGAACATCCTTGAGATCTGTGAAGGTCTTGAGAAATTATTTATCTAGGATACATATAGCATCCAAGGTGACTTCATATTAAATTGATTGGTAAAGAAAACACCTGTAATCACCATTTTATGGCCCTCTGAGCAATTATTTCGTTTCGAGTGTGAAGACGGCCATGTGGACTCATCCGCTTTTTTAGAGTCATGTTATAGATTTAGCTTTCCATAGCTCTCAAGATTGTGCTCCCTTAAATTCTATTGTCCCTCTGGTCTATTAACAGCTTGTGGTCAGTAGGGAAACGACATCTTTGTCTGATTTTCTGTAGGACTATTAACTTGTTGAATGCAGAAACAAGTTCTTACTCAACTTTGAACCTCATATAGAGAGGAAGTCCACCAAGCACTAACAGTAGGTCCTCACTAAGCATTAAAATAACTGGTATATGTTCTTACTTTATGTATTTGTAGTTATGTAAAATAGACATGTAGCCAAAGATCAATTGGGAAGCATATCTTTTGCAGACAATGATATGACTAGAAAAAAACGTTTCTTTCAACCACAATTTACTAAAAGAGAAAAGGAAAACTTCACATATAGTATGATTTCCCCTGACTGTTTCAGTTTACTTTAGGTGATAGAATTAATTAGCTAATTGCCAAGGCACACACGATCCTATATTTTTCTTTAGTAGAAAACATAGAATACTGAGCAGGCAGAGATTAGCGTTATTTTTCTGAGGTAAACAAAAACTGCCTTCTGGATCTCATTTCAATTTGCCTATGCTGTTACAACTGAGTCCCAAGATTCCATGATCAGAAGCCTGAGAGTGATGAAAGATAATTATTCCAATAAGGCCAATTTATTCAATACCCTATTTATAAAGAACCTTGAGAAAAATAAATGACTGGGCTGGAAATCAACATGGAAATAGGTCCAAGTTTTCTCAGTTGAAATTCAAAGTAAAATGCAATCTTAATTTTTTTAAACCCTAAAGGAACAAATTTTGCAGAGTGAGAACTCAATCAGAAACAGGGGGGAAAAACAAAGACAGGCTCTTACTGAATTCTCATTATGGTTGGAATTCTTTGTACCACTTTGACTTTACTTTCAAAAATCTTTTTTGAGTAACTGTGACAGTGTGAACAGAAAATGAGGGGACAGATGGAAACACGAAATAAAGCCTTCTAAGGCACCCGCTGCCTGATGCATTAATTAGGCTTCTTCAAGCACCTGAGATGTCAAACTTAGCATCATTTCTTTTGGTTTGTTTAATTGCTTTATCTCAATTTTGTAGTAACATCTATCACATGGGCTAGTTGTTTGCAGTGCTTTATCACTAATAAATATTTCCCACTGTCTTAGGCAGAAAATCTGGAAGCTGCAAAGTAGCACATGTTTATTATGAGGATACTAAAATGTGTAAATTTCAAAGTGAAATATATCTGGGTTGGGAATATAGTAGAAAGGTAGATTGGGTACTTAATATATATGCGACTGGGATCAAACTTCAACAGAGAAATATATAGAGGATACATAGTAGATAAATACAGATGATAGATAGATATAGGTGGGAGAAATGGGGATGATAGGTAGACGGCTAAGTAGATAGATAGATGATGGATTGATAGACTTTGCAGTCTATTTTTGTCACTGGGAGAATTACTGTGTAAAATAGACTGCAAAGGGCAGAAAAGATGAGAACATTACAATATATAAACATCAAGTGACTATAAGGGGGAAATAGCTAAGTATCTCTATATACTTCAGAATATCCCCGTGGGAAATTTTCATGGATATAAAATTATATCAACTGCATGAAAGTAGATTTCAAAGCCTAGGCGCTGAGCGCTGGGCCGCGTCCACAATATGGGGTCTTCAACTCCTTCGTTCCAATCTCCAGACCCTGTGGCTCCGCCTCCTGAAGCTCCTACAACCCCTGCCAACCCAAGCACCCACTGCTCCCGCGTGAGCTGTCGCTTGCTCTCTGGGTCCGGGCTGTTGGCGGCGGGCACCTATGTGTACCTGGTGGCGCAGAGGCCCATGAAGCTGGGGCTGGACCCGGGCCCATTGCGCAGATGGTCGTCGGCATCAGCATTGCCTGTTGGGGTGTAGTTATCCTGGTAGACCCAAAAGGGAAGGCCTGTCGCGTTGCTTGAAGGTAACACCAGTGACTTTGCCATCATGTATCTTTGACTTCATGACACACAGATCAAACATGGGATTTATGGATGTTCTGGATAAACCCATGGACATGGATGTTTGGCACTATTGTGGATACTGACAAGGCATTTTAAAATTCTTCATGAGAGCTGCAGAGCTAGTCTGATTTATTATGATTATTTTTTATTGTGAAAATACTGTACAGAGGGGTTACAATTACATGGGCAAGATAGTGAGTACATTTCTTATCAAGCATTGTAGCCTCCTCCTTTGTTTACCCTTCCCATCCCTTCCCATCCTCCCTCCCCCCCACCCAATCCTTCCCCTCCCCCAAGTTGTAAAGTTCGTTTTTGACATGACAACTTGTACTTCTCATTGTTGCAAAAGGTCCGCCTGTATCCTTATTTAAACGACTTGTTTTTCCCCTTCCCCTCCACAAATTATACCGACATCAAATACAGTGAAAGCAGGGGTTATACTGTGGGGGAGGGACATACAAAGCAACAAAGAAATAATCTTATAATTGCGTTAGAAACAAATGCATGAAAGAAAACAAAACATTTAAATACATATCTTAGGGTTCATTTTCCTAACATCACCTTATCTGATTTATTATTTAATGGGTAAACCTTAAAACAGTTCAAGTGATTTTATCAGGCTCATTTGTCAAGTCATAGATGGAGTTAGGACATGTCTAGATATTCTAGTCTTTGAGAAGGGTAGTATGGTTCCAAGAAGACAAGCATTAACATTTTGAAACATTCATAGTTAAATACCAAAATGGTTGAGATAAATTGAAAGCTTTTAGTAAAATGAAAGCCTTTGATTCTTTTTCCACAACCATCACAAATGTTCTTGTGATGGAATGGAGATGCTTTGGGGATAAGGGCTCAGTATTTATTGATGTCTATGAGAAGTTGTGCTTGCTGTTGGTGTTTTGCTCTGAAATACTGTAGTTTCTATGTAAAAGAATGTTTAGGTTTTTTCCTGAAAAACAAAGGTACTTCTTTCTGTTAAACTGTCAGTCATAGTGTTTAATAAAATGTTTAGTAGCCAGTACCTTGAAGGCTGTTACTGACACTGAAAAGCTGAAACATTTGGATTAATTTGTCTCATCAGTGTCCAAAAACGAGTCCATGAACAAAATGGCAAAATTTATTGTAGAAAAAAACAAAACAAAACAAAGCTCTCACTAGAGAGGGGCTCTTATTGAAGGTTAATGCATGTGTCTAATTGTGTTGGTGTTAATAAAGTGTCTCCATGAAATAAAAAACTTCATGAAAGTAAAACATAAACAGAAATACTAATTTCATTAAATATTCATATATTGATACTAAATGTACCAGTTGAAAATCAATAAAGTATATGATTAAAAATTTACTGGAATATAAGCTTCATGAAGTCTAAGTTTGATGTTTCATTCTCTACACTAAGTGCCAATGACAGATAAATAAGTTCCTTTTATTATTTATGAAGAGGGTCAGTAGGGAAGAAACACTGGGAGAAAATGAGGGAGGGATGACACAGTTCCATTCATTACCTGACTTATGTAACCATGACCCTTTGTACATCACCTTTGCAATAAAATAAATAAGAAACATTTTAAAGGTAAAAAAGAAATATAAATGATAGACAAGAAATACAGGCTACCACCAACCCAGATGCCGCTCAGTAGATGAATGGATCAAGAAAATGTGGTATATATACACAATGGAATTCTACGCCTCTATCAGAAAGAATGACATTGCCCCATTTGTTAGGAAATGGAAAGGCTTGGAAAAAATTATATTAAGTGAAGTAAGCCAAGCCCAAAGAAACTTAGGTCCCATGGTTTCCCTTATTTGCAATATCTAGTATATGTCTGAGTCAAGCAGAAAAGGTCAGATAAGGTGATGTTAGGGAAATGAACCCTAAGATATGTATTCAAATGTTTTTTTTCTTTCATGCGATTATTTCTAATGCATTTATAAAATTATTTCTTTGTTGCTTTGTATGTCCCTCCCCCACAGTATAACCCCTGCTTTCACTGTATTTGATGTCGGTATAATTTGTGGAGGGGAAGGGGAAAAACAAATCGTTTAAATAGAGATACAGGTGGATCCATTGCAACAATGAGATGTACAAGTCGTTATGTCGAAAATGAACTTTACAACTTTGGTGTGGGGAGGGGGCGAGGGGAAGGGGAGGGTAGGAGGGGGGGCGATGACGATTGGGTGGGCGGATGGGGGGGGGGCGGGGGTGGGGGGAGGAAGGATGGGAAGAGATGGGAAGGGGAAACAAAGGAGGAGGCTACAATGCTTGATAAGAAATGTACTCATTATCTTGCCCATGTAATTGTAACTCCTCTGTACAGTATTTTCACAATAAAAAACAAAATATAAAAAAATAGTGTTTGTCATCACTAATACTCGAACAAATGAAACTTAAATGCAATCTCTTGATTAGATATCAACACGAGAAATACAAAAACAGAAATCATGACTAACAATTGCAAATGACAGTCACTGACAAACTGTGGAACACACACACAAGACTACACACACACACACACACACACACACACACACACACACACACATACACCTAATTATGTACATGTCAACTGATGAAAATTCTTTTTTTTTAATGTGAAAATACTATACAGAGGGGTTACAATTACATGGGCAAGGTAATGAGTACATTTCTTATCAAGCATTGTTGCCTCCTCCTTTGTTTCCCCTTCCCACCCCTTCCCATCTCCCTCCCACTATCACCCCCCCCCCCCACTGCCAAAGTTGTAAGGTTCGTTTTTCAACATAATGTCTTGTACATCTCATTGTTGCAATTGTACAGGTAAGAAGTTTCCACATATGTTTTTGGCCCGCTGGTATAGTGATCCTGTTTGTCCTTTGATTGGCTTTTTTTTTTTTATCCAAGTACTAAGCATCTCTTTTCAGCAAGTATTTTCATTTTAATTATTTTATGACCCCCCTCATGTGTCTGGTAGTGATAAGTTGCCATTTAATGATATATTTATTGTTGAGAGCTTTAGTTTCTTAAATGAATTAATAAACTGATATTTCCACATTTCAGTGTGAAACTACTTTAACGCAATGAGAAGTACTCACATTTAATTGTCATGTGTAATGAAAAGAAATGAGGTGACATAAAATGTTCATAATCCCAGGGACCTTCAATGTCAAATAAAAGTGGTGATTTTTCTGTAGCTTTGAAAAAGTGATGACAGAAAATTCAGCCTTCAAACAACATAGTCAAGAATCCAAAAAATGTATTTATCAGCAAATAATCTAGTCACAATACAAATGGATGTATTGTTTGAATTCAGTATATGCAGTTATACTCAATTCACATAAATATAATTATTATTGTAAAGTTCATTATACAAATAATTTTTAGTACTAATTTCATGATGCATAATGAATATAAAACAAGTTGAAAAATTATATTTAAGACACTAATCTAGAATCAAAAAACTGTTATTTTTGAATTAGATTTTATAGGTTATCACCAAAATAATAATTTTGATTCATTTACTCAAAATTGTTAAATATTTTAAAGGATTATTAATTTGATATTTAAAAGATTTTTGTATCATGTAAGTCTTATAAAAACTATTTGTCTCTTAACGACAGAAGCAGCACTAAACATTTAGGCTGTAGCTTTGTAAATACATAGAAAGTTACAAGATCCCTTGGAAGTTAACTGTGTCATGTCAAAGAAGAATTTTAATGCACATAAAAATCCAAGACCAAGCCAGGTGCTGATGGCTCACACCTGTAATCCTAGCTACTCAGGAGGCTGAGATCTGAGGATCACAGTTCAAAGCCAGCCCAGGCAAGAAAGTCCATGAGACTCTTATCTCCAATAAACCACTAGAAAACTGGAAGTGGTGCTGTGGCTCAAGTGGTAGGGCGCTCATCTTGAGCTGAAGAGCTGAGGGATAGTACCCAAGCCCACAGTTCAAGCCCCACGACAGACCAAAAAAAAAAAAAAAAAAATCAAAGACCAGACCCAAGAGCTAGACAATGGTGACATTATTTTCACTCATGTAATGCAAAAGAAGGGGAAGGAGAAGGAGGAGAAGGTGGAGGAGGAAGAGAAGGAGAAGGAGAAGGAGAAGAAGGAGAAGGAAGAAGGAGAAGAAGAGGAAGAGGAGGAGGGAGGATGAGGAGAAGGAGAAGGAGAAGGAGAAAGATCCAAAAGCAAAAGAACTTTACAACTTTAGGGGCATGGGGGGGGGGGGAGGGAAAGTGGGAGAAAAATGAGGAGGGTAATAATGTTTGACAAGAAATGTACTCACTACCATACATATGTAACTGTAATCTCTCTACACATCACCTTGACAATAAAATTAAATTTAAAAAAGAAAAAAAAAGAAAATTACAAGATCCTAATTTAATCAACTTTACTGAAACACAAATATATCCATCTTTGAAAAATGATCAACAAGTTTGACAATGTTATATGCCCATATATATAACTTTACTCATCTAAAATTATGTAAGTAATAAGCTGTATATGTGATTTTCTTTTATGTGTCTTTGAGTTTAAAGTCCTATATATAATCTAATCTAATCATTCTACATCATAAAAATAAAAAGCTCCATAACCTGGAAGAAATTTCTGCTGTTGCTGCTTTGTGGTCTTTTGTCTTCCTTTTTGGTCCACAGTCATGGTAACCCAATCATTAAACTACAGTCCATCATATATTATTTAGCTTTATGTTTGTAGGCATAGGTCCCAGCCTTAAAGATTAGAATTTACAAATTCTTTCTCCATTTATAAGACGATTCTTTCTAACAAAGAAAAATATCAGCTTCACAATTTATCATAATTACCCCCATAAAATTGTATCCGACAGAAAAGTAATTGTTAATCAACATGAAAAAAAGAAGTAGGAATAAACTTTAAGAATAGACTCCTATATATGAAAACACATGGTGTATGTAATCTGTAGAGTTCTGTTTTTTAAAGCCACAATGCTAGATGAAAAGATGAACAATCAGACTGAACTTCAGTCAGCATTTCATCTAAGGGCTTCATTAAACAAAAACGCGATCAAGATGCCAACCCCTTCTAATCATCACTAAACATGTCAGGAATAAATCACACCGATACTTTCAAAAGTGATCTATTCAGACTTCTGTATAGATTAAATTCAGTTTCACCAAATGAACTAGCCTTCTGTCTATTGTACATTTCAGTTTATGATAGTGGGGAGAAGACATTAATGAAACAGCTCTTTTAGATCTGATTGTTTTTATCTGGATGATCTGCATTAAACAATTCCATTAGGATTCACTAAGTGATAAAATGATATTTTATGTCCTGAGCTTGAGTTTAGCTTGTATTGAAGACAGAATGTTGAGATTGTATCTAGTAATAACTCATTTATTTTTCTCCACTACCATGCTGTTAAACCTTCAACCAGTAGAAAGCCAGAGAAGGATAGATATACCCATCTCATTGACGGGTCTTTCCTTCATCAGGTGTTGCTGCAGATCCTCTTGTGCTTTGTAGAGTTTCAGCAAGTGGTGGTGGAGAATGGTCAGCCAGGCCATCATACTGACAGTACATTTCAGTGTGCTGTGAAACAGCTGTCCCTGTCTATCATTCTTCTGTACCACCTTTAGTATTAGTGCAAGAAAACTTGAACATCCAATGATTGAGAGACACAACAAGGAGATAGAATTCCTTTATCCTTAGCTTATATTTGTTATACTTTTTACATGAATACTCATTATGGCAAATATTATGTATTTGTTGCATATGTATAACATATTACATATTCATTGTTCATTATGTATTTGTTATAACAAATGTTATATATTATATAATACATAGATATACTCTATTATATATCTATACATATAACTGAAACACATGGAAAGAGATTGAATACTTAATTTAATTTTACACCAGTCATGTGGATGAATATAACTATAAAGATGCTAGAAAATGTTTCTTTCTAATTTCCAGATAGGTATTTTTACTAGACTATTACTGTTCTATTATTATTCCATGAACATTTCCTCACTGGACAGCTAGATAATAATACCATGCATACTATTTCAGAAGGGAAAACCTTGAAAGCAACTGACACAAAAAGCCCTAATTCACCATCCAATCTACCCAAATATGTAACAGTTCTTTAAAGATACAGAGCTTAACATTAAAGCCATTATCATTATTCTTAATATTAGCATTAGTGTGCATTGTTCTTGTATTAGAGCATGTGTCTCTGGAAGTTAATTTCACTCTCATCACAGCTTGGCCTTGTGGAAATTATTAACTTGACAGAGGCAGGATGAGAAAAATACTCAGGGAACAGCTGGCAGAATGTGAAGCGATGCTGAGCATCTTCCTCTCCCCACGGAACGTGTTTAGCACCTTCTTTCCTCCCCTATTAAATTTTAATCTCTCATATATACATTCATACGTGTGTGTGTGTGTGTGTGTGTGTGTGTGTGTGTGTATAGAAAGTGCCCTGGTTATTTAGAATAGATAAATTAGGGTGACTTTTAAATTCTCTCCCGTTTATATTCCTTTCATTTTCACAATAAGATGTGTTCAGTTTTGCAGAATTGTGTACTGCCATATACCTCCAAAGTGTTTGTGATAAGGGAATGATACCATCCAGATATTTCTATTCATCTCTGAGCACAGTATTCTTTTTTAAATTCTATTCATTGTTTTCCTGATTCTGTAGTTAAAGATACTGCCCAACACAGTCTATTTCTCATAGAAATTTTCTTGAACATTTGATCTAATTCAGAACTCCCTAGAATGATTCAATCCCTGTATATTAAAGATCTGTATATTGAAGATCTCTATATTAAAGATCTGTACTTAATTGATGTTTGTTTTATTAGGATGCTGAAAGGGATCATGGAAGCATGTTAATGCCAATGTGTTTTTATGCCCCATCCATGTTACCTTAAATGCGGCTTGTTGGCAATGGTCTCCATGTAAACTACCCAGTCTTACGTTGTTTTACTATTTCCTCCTTAATGAACTCTACTTTTCTCTGGTGTGTGTGTGTGTGTGAGAGAGAGAGAGAGAGACAGAGACAGAGACAGAGACAGAGGCACAGGAGGTGATTATGCCATTGTATTTTCCTATTATATCCTTTAATGTTGGGATTCCCAATTGGGTTGCTTTATCGCTACCTTGGTTGATTTTCTTGCTTTAGGATATCAGATAACTCTGGGCTTGTAAAAATTAGGACCTGTATGTCTATTCCCAATCTTTCCCTTTGAATGTTTTCTGACTCCTGACTCTATATTCACCAACTAGAGAAAGAACATCCTTAAAGAGTCAAAAGAAACTTTCTGGAGTGAATGGACAGGCTGAATCTTGGAAAACACTGGTTGAGTTACAGTGTTGGTTTGTAGTATCTGATGAACACAATTATTATGATACTGAATTTAGAACAAAGAAGGACTGGAGCTTGGTTACACTTGGAAAAACATCTTCAAATCTTGACTTCCTCCTACTAAAATTGGATCAATTTTAGTATATAGTTTTTCTTTATATAAACTGAATTAAATTCAAATAAAATGCCTAGTACAATGTTTCATGTTCAGGAAGTATTTAATATGACTAGTAACCTTTATAGTAAATGTTTTCATAAAAAATTCCATAACTTTGTTTAAAAAAATCCAATACAGCCACAGAGACATTGAGATGTTGGAAAGGCCTTTAGCTATAAGAATAATGATAAATAGAATAATGTCCAAATTAGTCTTGTGGAGACACAGAGGGCACTCCAATACCCAGAAGCCCCGGGAGCTCTTTGGGAACCCCATGGAAGGATGTGTGGTAAAGGTAGAGATAATTAGCAGCACATCAAGACCACCATGATAGTGAGAGAATAAGGTGGAATATACATTCAGTATCTAAGACAAATTTTTTATCCATATGTTTGACAGATCAAGAGATTAGGAGTACAGATGGATATGAGCAACTGTTGGATATAAAAACAATGACAAGAAGGAAAGGAACTTAAAAAATACCTTTGCATTTTGAACTGGTCCCCTCTGATGTCATTTAAGAGGAACAAGAAAGATTGGGACATCTTTAAATTGTTGATGGCTACTGGACTCTGTCTTCTTACTGATAATACCAAGTAGCAGACTTGTCCTCAAGACTAATCTGGACCCGATTCTATTTATCATTACTCTTAGAGCTAAGTGCCTTTTTAACACCTCTATGAAAATAGTTCATAGCTATCTCAAGACTAATAGTTCCCAACCTGAAATCGTAATCTTCAGGCCACATCTTTTGTCTGCTCCAGTGACATAATCAAGTATTGTTGCCGTGTGTGTTGTGTGTGTGTATGCAAGTGTGTGTGTGTGTGTGTGTGTGCACACACGCGTGCATATGTGTTTGCCAATACTGGGGCTTGTACACATGGCCTGATTGTTGTCCCTTAGCTTTTTCACTCAAATCTGGCACTCTACCACTAGAGCCACAGCTCCACTCCAGGTATTCCGGTGGTTAATTGTAGATAAGAGTCTCATGGACTTTTCTGCCTTGTCTAGCTTCAGGCCACAATTTTCAGGTCTCAGCCTCACTGAGTAGCTAGG